AAATGTCACCTTCTGAGCGAGATCCTGAACCCCTTATATAATATCGTACCCCAGCCCCCATTTCTTTTTTTCACGTACATTTACAATCTCCTAACCGGCTCCGGAGTGGGACTGTTTGTCCTGTCTGCCGCCCCTGAGGGACTGAGAGCCCCCGGGCAGGGACAATGTTTGCCTGTCTTCTTCCCCGTGCAGCTCAGGCTCCCGGAACAGAGCCTGGACAACAAAGCACTCCGCCGGCGTTTGCTGAGTGACTGGATGTGGACTCCTGTCCTTTCTTCCCTCCTACATTTATCCATCAAACTTATCTGAAAGAAAGGGCAGTCCCTTCTCCCCAGCCTACTTATTTTAATCCCCACCCAAGGATATGCTTTTTGTTTGTTTTTGTTAATCCTCACCTGAGGGTATTGTTTCCATTGCTTTTCAGAGAGAGTGAATGGGTTGGGGGAGGAGAGAGAGAGAAACATCGATGTGAGAGAGACACATTGACTGTCTCCCCCAGGTGCCTCGACCCGGGACATGGAGTGAACTTGCAACTCAGGTACATGCTCTTGACTGGGAGTTGACGCCATGGCCCTTCCGGCGTGTGGGCCGATGCTCTAACCACTGAACACACTGGCCAGGGTAAGAATACGTTTTCATTGATTTTCTTGTCTTTCTTTCTTTTTTTTTTAGAGAGAGAGAGAGGAAGAGAGAGAAACATCGATGTGAGAAAAAAACAACAACACATTGATCAGTTGCCTCATGTACGTGTGCCCTGACTGGGGATCAAACCCGCCACCTTTCAGTATACGGGATGACGCTCCAACCAACCGAGCCCCCCAGCCAGGGCGCCCCCAGCCCATTTACTTATCAATTCAATTATTTGTAGCAATTTGTATATGTTATTCTATTGGTTATATTTCAATACTGTAATTTATCTTGTTCAAATTTTTCTAGCCTTGGCTTAGGTTTGGGTCCTGTGTTTTTTCTACGTCTGTATCTTTTTTTCTTTTCTTTTTTTTTAGGATTCCCTAACTTGTTTTCTCTGACTCAGAGGAACCTGGATCTATCACCTACAACCTATTTACTCGTTTGTCCAACCCCAGGACGCACCCAAAGTAGCTCCGGCGTGGCTGCCGGAGAGAACCAGTTCCTAGCGTGGGTGCGGGCTGGTGTGTATCTTTGTCTGTAGCCTAACAGGATCCAGTCAGAACACCGTTTCCAAAGCCCCCAGACCAGCTTCCCTCTCTCCTCTCCCTCTCGGTGGCACAGTTGGGTTCACACATTGCTGTCTACTTTCCATGGCCCCACCGCACCCTGGTTGATTTCAGTTACGGTTGGAGGAACGTGAAACAAGACTATGCGCGTAAGAGCTCAGCACATGCCAAGGGGACAAGACCTTGTCCTGCTCGAGGCGCTCGTGGCCACGGGGGGTGGGGGGGGTGGGGGGCAGTCGTGGGACCAGGCAGTGACATCAGGGTCATTAGGTCCGTGGTGGGGGAAGGATGCTGGAGTGGCCTGGGGGCCCCCAAACATACGCCAGGTGCTAATTCCTAGACCTGAGACTATGACCTTATTTGGAAAAAAACAAACATCTTTGCAGATGTAATCAAGGGTCTTGAGATGAAGAGAATGTTCTGGATTATTCAGGCAGGCCCCAAATCCAGTGACGGGTGTCCTTATACGAAGCAGGATGAGAGACACTGGACAGAGAGGAGACACAGAGTCGGGGAGATGGCCATGTGGAGAACGCAGACCCTGCAGCAATGCGGCCACCAGCCATAGGTCACCGGGGCCACCAGAAGCTGGAAGAGGCGAAGGGACCCTCTCCTGGAGCCTCTGGCAGCGTGCAGCTTGGACACCTGGCTCTCGGGACTTCTGGCCTCCAGGACGGGGAGAGAACGTCTGCTGTGTTAAGCCACCAGCCCCAGGAAGCTGCTGGGACACATCTGTCTGTCCCCTGGGGAGCAGCAGGATGGATGCCACCCCAAGGAGTCACCAGGCACCCCGATACTCACTCTTCCCTGCCTCGCCTGGCGTGTGTCACCCCTCATGCTGCCCGTGACAGCAAATAATTCTTATTTTCTCCATTAACAGAGCAAAAGTGCCAAGTAAATCTAATCCACAAATCATGCTCCCTGGGGAGGGTGCCAGGGCTCCCCATGGTCTCACTGGGACAGGGTGCCCTGGGGACGGGAGGCACAGCTGGCGAGGGGGAGTGGGGTGGGAGCAGACACAGACTTCAGCACCACCCACCACCGGCCTGCAGGGACTAACGGAGGCCCAAACCCTTTTCTGTGCGGGTTGACAGTGGTCACCTGGGGTGGGGCAGCCTGCAGGGCTGGGACACCCGACAGGTTTGGTTCTCTTGCCAGCAGTGAGGAGGACCAGCTGAGGTGGCGGAGCTGTGGAGGGCGGAGCCCCAGAGGATGGGTGATGGATGAGTGGAGGGTCCTTGGTCAGTCTTCTCTTTCTGCCATGCTTCCTACGGGGGGAAGTGCGCTAGGAATGAGGGAGCTTTGAGAGATGAGGTGGGTCTGGCATGAGGGCTGCCCATGGGAGAATGATGTCAGGGGCACCCAGCAGGTGTGGAGGCAGCCACCTCCACTTTAGGTCTGGGATGAGGACCATTTTTTTTGGTAAAGGGTCAGATGCTAAACATGTCTGACTTTTGGGGCCAGGGGGTTCTCAGTTGCTACTGCTCAGCTCTGCTGTTGTGGAGTGGAAGCGCCATAGATGATGCTAAATGAGTGGGTCTGGCTGTGCTAATAAAGGTTTATTTATAAAGAGCAAGTGGAGGGCCTGCCTGGTTTTTCTCAGTGGTTAGAGCAGTGGTGCACAGACGGAAGGTTCCTGGGTTCAATTCCCAAAGGCACGTGTGGGAGGCAACCCATGGATGTGTCTCTCGCACATGGATGTTTCTCTTCCCCTTTCCCCCCTTCTACCTCCTTTCCACTTTCTCTAGAAATACTTGGGTAAAGATTAAAACAAAACAAGAACAAATGGAGGGCTAGATTTGGCCCAAGGGCTTCAGGTTTCTGGGCCCAGGAAGACGGGGCACTGGACGCAGTGTGCCCCTGGCCCCACGTCCTTCGGATAGGACACCCCTTGAAGGGTTGGATCTGATTAAACCTCACCTCCTAAGACGTCTCCCCCACATCCTAGTGTCCAGGACCTCCACCACCCCCACCTTCTCATCCTTCAGGGCATATGTCAGAGATGTATTTATGGTCCCTGACATTTCCGTCCTCTGCCTGCTCTCCTGAACTCTAAACCCCACAAAAGCAATGGCTGTGTCTCCCTTTTGTTCAGCCAGCTCCTCAGGTCCTGGCACAGGGCAGGTGCGCAGGAATATTTGCTGCCAGAATAAATGAGTCAAACTCTAGTGCTGAGCGCAGGGCCCGTAGGCTCCACATGGCTGCACAGTGGGCCCAGCCAGGTGTCTCGGCCCTGGCTGCGGACCATGAGGGCTGTCGCACACACCTCCCTGTTTTACGATGTTTCAGAGAATGCTGGTAACGGCGGCCAGCTGCTGCCGTGCCAACCACCTGGGTCTGCTCTCTGCGGCCCCCACCGCGGGGCTGAGGACTGAGTGTGCCCAACAAGCTCTGGGCAGGCTCAGAGGACACTGACCTGTCTAGTCAGTGATGCAGAGGCCCCTGTAGCAAATGGGGAATCTGAGTCCTGGTGCTGTTGAAGGCTGCTTCTCTCTAAAAAGAAGGGTCTGAGATGGGTGAGGGTGGCTGTGGCTGGATGGAAACGTTATCAAAGGAAATCTCTGCTCAGGACACAATTGCCTTGCAAGGACACCCGTTCTGCAGAGGAAAAGCCGAGGCTCAGAGAGGGGTACCCCCATGTCATAGGCTGCTCCTCCTCACCATCCTGCACGAACACCCTGGGCCCAGTTCTGAGTCTGTCCTCACCAGTCCCATAAACATACCACCTTTGAGCTGACATCTAAAGGCCCTGCCCTGGCCCCAAACTCACGTCTCTTCTCGTGGGGGCTCTCTCCCCAGCCTCAGCCTCTGCACGAGCCGCCCCATTCCAGCTCATGGCAATGCCATCTTCCCAGGGGCTCAGCGCTGTTCCCTCCCGCTGATCTCCAGCTCCCACCCTCACCCTCCAGGCTGTCCTCCCTGCAGCAGCCAGAAGGCGCCTGTGAGCACCCAAGCCAGGTTCCATCCCTCCTCAGTCCACTGCCCTCCAGGGCTCCCACCTCCCTTGGGATAAAGGAATATGTGCTCCCTGGGGCCCACATACCCTACATGACCTGCCCCCATCACCTCCTTGCTCTCACCCCCCCCCCCCCCCACCCTCGCTCACTCTGCTCCAGCCACATAGGCGTCCTGGCTGCTTTTCCAACATGTCAGGCAGTCCTGCCCCAGGACCTTTGCATGGGCTGTCCCCATGGCTCACTATCTCATCTCCTTCAGAACTCGTGTGTAAAAATATGACACTAGTAACAGCACATCCTACCCTGTCCCCCTTTGCTCTTTACAGCACAGCTGACATCCCATACATTTTGCTTACTGTCTGCCTCTCTCACTGGTGTCAGCTTGAGGGCCAGGATCGGATCTGCTGTGTTGGTGCTGTTTCCCAGTACTTGTGAGAGGAGTGACATGTTCATGAATGCCAGGGGCCCAGACTCACCCCAGGGCCAGGAGACCCGCTGTCTTTCATGCCCAATAGACGCCCACCACTCAGGTGTCACGGGAACGGGGCAGAGGCTGAGAAGGCAGTAGGAGAGGGCAGCCATCTTCTCCAAACAAGAGAGGAGTCAAAGCCAGAGGGTGCTGCTTGACTGTCCGCAGAGGGGGCCCACTGCCACAGCCACCTCAGCCACCTGCCTGAGGGGCCAGAAAGCCTTGCGAGAGGAATGTGTGCAGATACAACCTGTGGACATCAGCGTGGGGAGCCCTCCTCCCTGGGGGCTGCGAGCTGAGGGGCCAGGCCACTGGGGAGACCGCCTTCCTGTCGCCCAGGCACCACTCAGAAATGAAGACACACCAACGACATGGACCTGTAATCGCAGTGCTCATGAGCCTTTAATTCATTATGAACCTAGAGGCAGGGAAATTAGGCAAAAAATACAGCACATCCTTAATCCTGGGTCGGAAAAAAATGAGGGTGGGTGGGGTTTCTGTTTTTGCACATAGACATATATCTTTGTGGGGAAATGTGTTTCTCTTTGCTGTGCGGCGACCTGTCTGCACAAGTCATCCCGGAACCCATGACAGGGGCGCGACCCAGAGACCCCGCCACGGGGCTGGCTCTCCCTCAGACCCCCAGGACCCCATGGGCCACAGAGTGTCTGCCTGCTTCTTTTTATTTTCTTTACAATATAAATAGCATTTTCAAACTACATATGAATACAGAGATGGCGCCACCAGGCGGGGCTGCTGCATGCAGAGGGAGACCCCCACATCTCGGCTGACTCCCCTCAGTCCCTCCCGCCCCCGCCCACACGGACAACTGCCCTCCTCCCCCCACCAAGGGAATGAAAGGTTCTTGGCTCATTTACATACTCTCCATTTTCCTTAAATAGTTTTCTCTGGCCTGGTAAGCGTTAGAACACTTTTTTTTTTAATTAAAAAAAATGTATACACGTAAATGACGCTGTCAGTCCTGCAGGGAGAGGGCACGGCAGGGATGGAGAGCGCGGAGCCCTTCCCGAGCTCGCGGGAAAGTGTTTCTCTCCTAAGTCCACCCACCACTCGTCAGGGGCGGATTCCTTCACACTGAAGCAGCGATGCCCTCTCCCTCTCTTGCTCACTCTCCCAGACACACGGGTCACAGAAAGGACAGAGGACGCTGCCAGCCCCTCGGGGTCTCAGGAAGCCCTCCCCATGCCCCTTCCCCATGTAGGGCTGCAGCCAAAGCAGGGGCACCAGGAGCCTGGGGACACAGGCTGGACTTGGGCCACCTGGAGGCCTGATTCGGCTCAGTGTCCTCCCTCCCCGGAAGCCGGGCGCCCATCTGCTCCGCTGCAGGCCACCCACACTAGGGCTCCCTCCCCTGAGCAGGCTGAGGGACTCCTGGGTGGCACCAGGGGCATTCCGTCGGCACAGAGCCCCCTCGCATACTGCAGGCCTCACTGTGGAATGGTTCTCATGGGGGAAGAAGCAAAAGATGGAACAAACCAGAAGAGATTGTTTATTTGCAAAGGTGCTCAGACAGGAGGGAGGCTCCTAGACACCGTGGCCAGCACTTGGCCACTAAAAGGTCCTCCAACCTCCTCCTGTCCCTCCTCCTGCCTGGCCAGAGAGGGGCTGGCACTGTGGCCAGCTGCGCAGACAGACCTTCACAAAGTCAGGGAGAGAGCAGAGTGACAGGGCATGGCCTGTCGCTGGGTGTCATCCCCCCTCCAGGCCTCACCGCACTTCCCTGCCTGCTCACAGAGGAGTAAGATCTTAAAATAACAACAAACAAAAAAATGAGATGCTTTTGTCTCCCTCAGCACGTCTTGGTTCTAATAAAAAGAATATTTTTTGTTTTGTTTTTAAAGCCACAAATCTACAAAACAACTTTAGGGACTTTTTTCCTCTTCTTTGTTTTCCTTTTTTCTTGAGTTTTTTAAACAATAAGTATTTATAGAAAGAGCCTCACAAAGGAGATTTATGTACAGGAGTCACAATCTCAAAGGCTGCTCAGGAGGCAGGCAACGCAGTAGCACCTTTTCGAGAAGAAGAGCTTTACGTGGTTTACGAATCTGAGTAGTAGGGGTGGCGCGAGCCCCAGCCGATGCCCCCGGAGCCGGCATGGCCCCACTCCCTGAGTCTGGGCCCTGCAGCATCCTGCTTGCTCCTGTCCCCGCAGAGCATGGAGGTAGCCTCTCGGGGCGGGGAGGCGAGGACAGGAATTCACAGCAAGCAGATGCCCGGGCCCGCTGCCGCCTGCTTTGCTGGGCCGAGGGGTGGCTGGGCGCTGGCTGGCTGTCCTAGAAGGGGGCTCTGGGCCGGCACTGGGCCTGCAGAAGGCTCTCCATGAAGGCCAGGTAGTCTGGGTTCCGCCCCGAGTCCTCAGCGGCACGCGCAGTGCCCACTCGCGGGCGCTTGGCGGCCTTCACCTCCTCTCCAGGGAAGGCGCTTTCCTGCGGCGCCCCGGTGCTGACTGACTGTGGGGACCAGACAGCACAGGAGTTAGTGCAGAAGGAGGTGTCATGGACTAAAGGTTTATGTCCCCAAATTACTGTGTTGAAGCTCTATCCACCAGTGTGATGGTATTAGGGGTGGGGCCTTTGGGAAGGCATTAGGCCATGATGGTGAGACCCTTTGAGTGGGATTAGAACCCTTACAGAAAGGACCCCAGAGCACGCGCTGTGCGGCTCAAGTGCTCTTCCCCCCCTCCCCCCGCAACACACACACATAAGGACCCCAGAAGGGGGCTGGCTGTGAACTAGGAAGTGGGTCTCACCAGACACCAGATCTTCCAGCACTTGATCTTGGGCTTCCCGCTTCCAGGACTTTGGGAAGCCATGTCTGTGGTTTAGGCTGCCCAGTCCGTGGTCTGTTATAGCAGCCAGGACAGGCTGAAACAAGGGCTCCACCGGGGCCTGCCCTGTGGGGGCAGAAGGCCACTGACCCTCACCTAATACCTTCCAAGAGGGACAGTTGGTCCCTGGGATGGCTTCTCCTTCTCAGTGCTCCTGTCTCTGTGTAAACCCCCAATCCTGTGCGTGAGCCTCCCAGCAGGTGGGCCCGGAGGGGATCCAACACCTCCGTCACTGGCTCTAGAAAGGGGGTGGCCGGGCCATGAGGAGTGAGGGGGGTGAGGCTGCTCATCTGTCTGGCAGCTCCAGTCCATTCCCCAAGGGAACCTGGTGTCTGAGGTCAGCTGTGCAAAACCCCCGTCGTCCCCCCGAGCTCTTACTTTGAGCTCAATCACCCCCAGCCGCAGCTGCCTGCTCCTCAAAACCTGGCCTTTGGATTAAACACAAAAGAAAGGGAACAGTGACGGGCGGGGAGAAGAGGCCCATCGCTTCCCACCTCCCGGGCTCACTGTTCCCTTTGAAAGGGATGAGCTTTAGAAAGTGTCTCTTTCTGCACCGCCAACCTTGGGAGTTCAGATTGTGTGTGCAAGCAGCAGCTGCTCCACATGCAGGACGTGTCACCAGGCGCCTGCCTGGTGCAGGTTCATCTCCTCCTCCCTGCGCTGTTACTGGGAAGGGCCCTCCAACGTGCTCCCACCTGCCAGACCATGCTCACTCCTGGGAGCTGCCCCCTAGGGGAGCAAAGGCCACGGCAGGGAGGTCAAGGCCACATCCCATGACTCCCGAAGGCTTCTGAGGGCAGCCCACCTTGTGCAGCCACTTACCAGCCGTGACCGGACCCTCTTGGGCAGCTCCTCATCCAGGGTGAAGATGTCGCCACGCTTCACTGTCAGCTGGGACCCGTCCTCAAACTCCACCTGTCCGGGGGCACAGTTCTCAGGCTGGTGCCCAGCACCAATGACTGACTCCCAAGGTCCCACCACCCAGGCCACTGCTGCTCAACTGCCAAGCAGGGTGATAGTCAGGGCATCCCCACCGGCCCACTCATGTCCCCACTCATCAAGTAAGGGCAACAAGAGGAAAGGGATGTGATTAAAAGTGATGGAGGGTTGCCCGGCCAGCATGGCTCAGTGGTTGAGCACTGACCTATAAACCAGGAGGTCATGGTTCCATTCACAGTTAGGGCACATGACCGGGTTGCGGGCTCCATCCCCTGTGTGGGACGTGTAGAAGGCAACCATCCAATCAATGATTCTGTCTCATCATTGATGTTTCTCTCTCTCTCTCCCCCTCTCCCTTCCTCTCTGAAATCAATCAATCAATCGAGATATATATATATATATATATATATATATATTTTTCAAAGTGATGAAGGGTCCAGACTGTTTTTGTTTTCTCTGGTAAGAGAAAGCAAAACAGCAAAGAATTCGCAGTCATTGTCTGTGGTGCTGGGACACGGGTGGTTTTTCTTCTAGGGTTCCACGCTTGTAAATAATTTCCCTTCCACAATCATGGGAAGGAACCACCATCCGTCTTCATTTAAAAAAAAAAAATCAGGGACACTGAGCTGTCTGCTTAAAAATGGTTAAACAGTACATTTTATGTTATCTATGTCTTCCCACACAAAAAATTGAGAAAACATCTGTAAGGGGGAAATATTAAACAATTTGAGGCCCCTTCCAGCTTAAAAATATAACAAGCCCTAACTTTCTAGGTTAAGTGGGCAAAGATGTGCAGTCCCCAACAGCACACTCGAGGGCCCCACCCAAGCCTGCGGGTCCCCTGCCTCCTATACCTGGAAGACAGCACCCTGCTCACCTGATAGATGTGACTGGTCACAGAGGAAATGAACTTGGCCTTGTAGATGTTTCCATCAGTCCACCGGAGTTCAACAAACTCCCCCTCGGGTGGGGGTCCCAGCCGGACACAGTCTCGACTCTGTTAGAAGCAAGAATGTGTGTGTGTAGGGAGTCAACTGGGGGAAAAGGAGACATATGTAAAACTTTAAACAAAACAAAAAAAGAAGCAAGAATGTGGCAGGAGGTGAGACGGTGGGTCCCTGGGCACCGGCACCCACCTGTGGGCTCTGTGGGGTTAGATCCTCCCCATGCTCTACTGCCTGTGGAAGCCAGTGGCGCTCTCTGAGCATACAGGATCGGGTGCTGGGCAGGGGTGGGAGGTGGGGGAGATGCAGTGCCCACCCTGGGGGGCCACCCTTGCTGTAGGCTCATCCAGACCGACTGCTTTCTGCTCTGTTCCCCGCTAAGCCTATGGCCTAGACCTGTTCAGTGGAGTCATAGGTGACCCTGGACGCAGATGACTCCTTTGAGGGATTGGGGCCACTCCTGACTTCTTAATAGCAGCCCCTGCCCACCCTATGCCCGCCCACAGCTCACAGTGATGCTCTCCGGGTACAGGTTGTCACTGTAGGACCCGTCATCAAAGTTCACTTCATAGAAGGTCTGCGTGGTGGAGCCGATAACACGGCACCGGTAGTAAAGCCCGTTGCGGTTCTTGGTGATGACCACCTGGCCTAAGGACACAGCTCTCAGGAACTGGACCTGGGGCGGAGGGGAGAGGGCCGCGTCAGCGCTCGGGCTGTGGGTGGGCAATGGGAGGGGGCAGAAGGGCTGGGCACTCACGGTGTGGCTGCCCGACTTGTGCTTGAAGCAGGTGATGGAGACGACGTAGGGCCAGTCATCTGGCTCCATGAGGACCCCTGCGGCGTGGGCGCAGGTCACGTGGAAGGAAGTGGAGCAGTGCTCGCAGGAGCACTGGACACAGGCCCCAGACACCTTCTTCATCCGCTTCCGGCAGTACACGCATTTCTGGGGTGACATAGAGAGGAAATGGGGCTCTTGCCGGCACCTGGTGCTGGGAGCCTCCCCACTGAGCTTCCAGGACTGTTTCCTAGGAGTGACCCCCAAGGCCCAGGGCTGGAGACAGGGGCCCCGGCAGCCTGGCCTTGGCTAGAGTCACCTGGGAAAAGCCCAGGGAGTCCGATGAGCAAGGGGCAGAGAGTCCCTCGCCACAGTGGACAGCCCCTCAAACCAACTGGCCTGTGGCTCCCTCCCACCCGCAGGAGCACTCCCAGGACCCCCCGACACCGGCCCCTCTGCAGAGGTGCCTGCAGCAGGCACCACTCAGCCACACGGCGGAACACACTCAGCCAACAATAAGCATGAGGCGCTGACACTCACTACAACGTGGTGGGCCTGAACACACCACGATCAGTGGGAGAAGCCAGACACCACAGGCCACACAGTGTGTCCGCCATTCATGTGAAATGTCCAGGCAGGCACATCCAGAGATAGGAAGTGGACTGCCAAGAGCAGGGGGCCTGGGGGGCTCTTTTGGGGATCATAGAATGCTCTGGAATTAGAGATGATGATTGTACAACTCTGTCAATGTATTAAAAGCTACTACTGAATGGCTCCCTTTACAATAGTGAATTCTACCTTAATTCTGAATAAAAAGCACTACAGAATAGCTTCCTTCAAAAGGAGGAGGGTCTGCGTGAGAGCGTGCACCCGGTGGCGGTCCTGTGGTGGGAATGCCCCTGCCTGGAGTGACCTGCTCCTGTGGCGTCAGCACCCGGACACCCCCACGCCGGGGCTCAGCAGTCAGCAGGCCCTCTGGTGCCCGTCACTCTGAGCATTTAATAAGCAGCCTTTATCACGCTGTAAACCATGTTCCAAAGCCAGATAAGCACGGCGGCCAAGGGCGCCGCAGGAGCTGCCACGCTGATCAATGGCAATGAGATCTCATTATTAAACTGTCAATATCGAATTCTCCCGCCGGCCTTGGGACGGCGCTGACATACAACATGCCCCTGGCAGCATTAGCCCTCGGTCCGGGGCCTCCGCAGAGCAGAGGGGAGCACAGCGCCTGAGATCCCGGAGGAGCCGGCAGGGCTCCAGATCTTGCACGTGTCACCTGCTCCACCGAGGCCCAGGAGAAACCATCGGCCTAGCCTGACTCAAAACACAATCATCCCCCGCCCCAGTGGGTGGCAGCTCATTATCCTGAGCTTCTGCATCATGAAGAATGTGGGCCAGGCCCCCACCACGCCATCTGTCAGGAGCTGAGCATGGGGTGGGTCCAGTGTCCAGGTTTTTCCAGCACCCATCCCTGCCTGGTGAGGGGATGAGCGCATGGCTCAGGCCACTGGACAGACAGGGTCAGCCCCTGCTCACCAGAACCCCCCAGGCACAGAGACGGTGGCCAGGGAAGACTGGGGATAGACTGATGGACAAAGACCTGGAGTGACTGTTCTCCAACATGTGGCCTGTATGGCGCAGGAAGATGGGCGGGCAGCTGGACAAGCAGGAGTTAACCACTGGCTTCCTTGCGCAGCTCCATTAAGCAGTACAAGCCAGCCTCGTGTAAAAGGATTTTTAATTCATCGTTACAAGTGCTGGTAATGAAGAGGCTGCAAGCTGGAAATGTCAGATGCTCCATAAAGCGTCTGGGGGAGGATGGATTACGGGCCGTGCACCGCACCATCACTCCACCTGAATGATGAAGCTTTTATGCCTGTGATCACCTGCAGGCCACCAGCCTCCTCCTGATTGCCCGTCTGCATCCAGCACTCCATGCCTGAGGTCCCCGACCCCCACAGGCTCCCGCTGGTGCCCACTCAGCTCTGCCTCGTGGCCCAGCACCTGTGGGCTCGAGGTGGGTGTCCCTGTTCCTTCCCGCAGGACTCCCCACCAGGCCCACTGCCGACAGCCCACGTTCTCTACCTTCTGCACTCTGAAGGCACATCAAAACCCAGGACTGCCCAGGGAATAAAATGGGAAGAAAAGCTGGGAAATAAAACGGGAAGAAAAGACAGCCATGGATGCTCCGGATGCCCCAGCCAAAGTTCCAGCTCCCGGGTGCCACATGACAGTCCCCATCAGAACTGCCACCCCACATCCCTGCGTGGGACACATCCCCAGCATGGCTGCCACACACTCACAGTAACAATAAACCTGAGAGCAGGCACAGGTGCTCAGACAGCATAATCAGGGCTTTGCTGTCAGGCCCCGCCAATGTGCACCATGAAGATGATACAGAGGGGAAGGCTGAGCACAGAAAGGTCAAGGAGTGTGTTTAGAGTCACACAGCTGGCTGGCGGCCGAGCCAGGAATGGAAGCCAGTGCATGCCAACAGTCACCCTCTGCCCACACTGCCTGCTGCCCCAGAGGTTCACCAAGGATGGCCACATGCTCCTTAGAGGGGAAGCTCGACGTAAACCAAGAGGGGTCAGTTATGAACTCCAACAACTCAACAGCAAACACACAACCTGATTTAAAAACGAGTGAAGGACCTAAATAGACATTTTTCTACAGAAGACGTACAGGTGGCCAAGGGGTACATGAAAAGGTGCTCAGAACCACTGATCATCAGGGAAATCAAAACCACCAGGAGCTATCATCACAGGCATCAAGAAGACAAGAGCTAAGTGTGGGTGAGGATGTGGAGAAAAGGGAATCCTCCTGCACTGCTGGTGGGGATGTAAACTGGTGCAGCCACTATGGAAAACAGTATGGAGATTCCTCAAAAAATTAAAAACAGCAGACATATGACCCAGCAATTTTTATTTCTGGGCATATATAGAAGAAATGAAAACAGGATACTGAAGAGATAAATATACAAGGTGGAGCAAAGTAGGTTTACACTTGTGAATATGCAAAACAGTTTAGTCTTGTAGCATTATTTACTACTAGAGGCCCAGTGCACAAATTTGTGCACAGGTGGGATCCCTCTGGGTGGCCTGCAGGGATCAGGCCAAAACCCACAGTCCAACGCTGCCTGCAGCTCCTACCTGCTGCTCCTGCTCATCCCAGCCCCACTGTGCCTGCCACAGGCTTGTGCCCAATCAGTCCCTTCCAAGGGGAGTGGTCTGCAAGATTGGGCTGAAACAGGCTCTCCAACATCCCCCAAGGGGTCTTGGATTGCGAGAGGGCACAGGCTAGGCTGAGGGACCCTCCTGTGGTCAGTACACGTCATAGTGAGCAGTTGAGCAGCCTTAGTATATCATTAACATATTACACTTTGATTGTTTGTTCGGTTGTTCTGCCATTCGGTCTATTTGCATATTACCCTTTTATTATATAGGATATTATATGCCATATGAATAATTGTAAGCCTATTTTTGCCCCACCCTGTATACACCCCTGTGTTCCCTGTAGCATTATTCACCATAGCCAAGACATGGTAACAACCTAAGTGCCCACTGATAGATGAATACATAGAGAAATGTGATCCATTCACACAGTGGAATATTATTCAGCCATGATAAAAAAATACTGCCATTTGTGACAATATGGAGGGACCGTAAGAACATTATGTTCAGCGAGAGAAACCAGAGGCCGCGGCCAAATGCTGCAGGATTCCACTGAAAGGAGGTGCACACAACAGTCAGACTCAGAGAAGCAGTGGCGGGAGGGGTGGGTGCCAGGAGAGGGATGTTGCTCATCAATGGGTATGAGTTTCAGTTACACGCGTTGCATATATCCCAGAGCTCTGCCACACAACATTGTGCCTATAGCTAGCAATACTGTACCGTGCACCTAAAATTTTATTCAGAAGGGAGATCTCATGCTAAGTGTTTTTACCACGATAAAAAAAAAAAAAGAGGGGCTAGTTAGGTAGCAAGAAAATTACAGGACAAGATCCAGGGGTCCTACCAGCTTCCACCGCTGCTCAGGGATGGCGCTGATGTCCACAGGATGGCGCTCCATCACGTTCAGAAACCGAACTTCAGGGACTGCGATGGCGCAGATCACATGGACCCATCTGGGGGGCATCAGAGGTCATGGGTGCCCCGTGCCCCCTCCCTGCCCCTTGCTATCTCACTCTATTGGCACTACCCCTATCCACAGTGCTGTTGCTGGCCGGTCAGGGCTTACAGGACTTTAAGGGATAATCTAATCTGAGTGATTATTTGCTCCTCCTGGTCCCCGACCCCAACTCGAGGCCCTGAGGAGGAACCGACACCTCTAGGGGCACACACCCAGGAGAAGCAGCACCCCTTCTACCCACCTCTTGTCTGTTGTCATCTGCAAAGCTCCTCCCCGGAGGTTGCACAGGCAGCACTCCTGCAGGGAACAGACAAGCCCATGGTGCGGGGGGCACAAGGGAGGGCTGCCCCCATGCTGCTCTGTGGCCTGGTCCATCCCCTGTCCCCCAGTCCTTACATTTCAAGCTAGCAGTCACCAAAGGGAGGGGCCAGGAGTGCGTCGGGCTCCACCCCCTCACTGCCAAGGTGAAGAAACCAAGGCCCTTGGAGGTGAGATCGCCAGCCCAGGGTTACTCTGCGGGATCGGGCAAGCCCAGGGCCCAGGCCTGGCTCCCCCATGGGGCTGGACAGCTCTCAGAGTACCACCCCAGCTGCAGGGGTGAGTTACCGCAGTCCAGGCGTGGGCCGTGCACCGGGAACACGTCCAGCCTTCGTTGACCAGCTCCGGGCGGATGCCGTAGCAACCTGGAAGGCAGCGGAGGACGGCTGAGCCAGGTGCACCTGTCACTGCAGCTGCACGCGAAGCTCGGGGCCTCCTGGAACCCAGCCTCGGCCCTGGGGGAACTGCTCTCACCTCCTCTACCTCAGTCCCAGCCACGGCACACAGGGCAGGAGAAGGGTCTGGAAACAGATGCTGGGAAGGGGAGCAGGGCCTTGTCACTCCCCCCCCACCCCCTCCTCCCTAAGCTTTGCTGAGTTGAGACCCTGGGAAAGTGACCAAGAAGTTGTATAACATGCAAAGTCAGCCTGGACACTGGAGTTAGGATGTGCTGGGCTGGGTGGGCCGGCCCAGTGTTCAGGCGAACAGCTATTTCTGAAACACAAGTCAGAGGTTCTGAGTCACCAAGGTGATTTGCTTTGGAACGTGGTCATGGTTCAGAAACAGGAAGAGGGCACAAGGAGGAGGCAAACAGACGGTGCTGCCCAGAACAAGGGGCTCTGCGTCACCCTTGGGTCACTGCCCAGCAGCACTGCAGGGCCCTCAGCCTTCAGGGCTGGTCACCTACCAAATTGGCTTGGCTGGCTGCAGTGGGCAGCAGCCAGGTGCTAAGGGGTCCTTAGAGGAGACCCCAAAGGACAACAAGTGCCCAAGAGCCTACACTGGACCCCTTTGTGCTGTCCCAAGGCATTCAGCCAAGGTCAGTGCCTGGGAGGCCTGGCTCCTGGAGGAAGTAGGGGCTCACTTCCCTCCAGAGCCAGGTCTCAAGGAGCACACCTGTGCTCAGCCTTCTGCCTCCTGAGGTCAGTGAGTGAGGTGCCTCTTCCCCTGAGAACCCAACCACAGGCCTAGAGTGGTCCCTGGGAGCCTGCCCTGGAGAGCATCTCACTGAGCCAACAGGCTCCCAGACAGGAGACAGAATGACCCCAGGCAGCCTCTGCTGGGACAGAGGAGGGACAGACGAGGGACAGAGACCTCTGGCTGCTCTCCTCTGTAGGACAGGAAATTACATGGTCCCAGAAGGCTCTCTTCCTTCCTGAGATCTCAGCCTCCCATTCCCTGCCCTGATGCCTGAAGGGGGCAGAGGTCCATTCCCCTGTCTCCTTGGGCTATGCTTCAGGGTCTGGGAGAGGGTGGCTGCTGACACCAGTCATATCAGATCCCGGACCTCTCTAGAGCAGGGGTGGGCAAACTTTTTGACTCGAGGGCCACAATGGGTTCTTAAACTGGACCGGAGGGCCGGAACAAAAGCATGGATGGAGTGTTTGTGTGAACTAATATAAATTCAAAGTAAACATCATTACATAAAAGGGTACGGTCTCTTTTTTTTTTTAGTTTTATTCATTTGCCCGCGGGCCGTAGTTTGCCCACGGCTGCTCTAGAGTCACATCTTTACCATCAACTCTGGCCCCAAAGCAGAGTTTAGAATCATGATGTTGCCTAACAAGCACCTAATCACTTCCTGCGGCACCCAGGCCCAGAGGGCAGGGCAAGGCTCAGCAGAACTGGCTGGAAGGAGGCTGATCAAGCAGGCCCACCTTGGCCAGGGGAAAGGGCAAGAAGTCTTCCCCTGAAGGCCAGGACCCAGCCCCAGGACCCAGGGCCTGTGACAGCCCCGTAATAGCAGCCGAGGGGAAGGGAGTCTTGCTCCACAGCTGAAACGGTGGCCATCCTAGAAGGGCGAGCACGGCTGCATGCCGCAGCCCCCACAGTCCTTCTTCAGCCCAGCTGCCTGTCGTCTGGGACCCCACTCACTGGCATGGACCTGCAGGCAGCACTTGGCACAGGCGATCAGCAAGCTGGTCCCATCATCACCGATGTAGGAGTTTGCGGGGAGTGGCTCTGTGTTCTCGGCGCTGGAGGTGAAGCACATCTCAGGGATGAGCGGCCGCGTCTTCTGGCCGCATGTGGAAGGTGGTATGGAGGGGCCCTCCCCGAGGGAGGCCTGTGAGGCCTCCTTCTCCATCTGTAGGGACTGTAGAGGGGGGTGCCTCCAGTGGAGAGCCCAGTATGGGGCCACCTGTCATAATTAAACCAGGCTTCGGGGCCATCCTTGCCACCTCCGTTGGTCCACTCCTCAAGCTGCTTCTATATCCAAACACAGCCCTAGCCTGCCTCCCACCTTCCCAGCTATTGCACTGGGGCCTCCCCAGTGCACCCTCCCAGCCCTCAACCTGCTCTCCCAAACACAGTCAGATCTTGTTCTGCCCCCACTGAAAACCCTCCATTAGGGTCACATCTGGATGCAGCACCGACACCACCCTGCTGCCCTCACCCTCATGCCTTCACAGCCCCTTACCCACTTCCTCTAGCCACATGGGCCCTGCTCTTCCTTCAACACCCCACATGCCATCCTGCCCCAGGGCCTTTGCACACACTGTTTCCCCTGCCTGGAGCACTCAGATCTCTGTTCTGGACCCTGCCCTGCCCAGGTGACTAGCAGCCCTAGCCCGTTGCTCTGCTATCTGTCTCTGTGGTCCAGATTGTCACCTGATGCCATGTTATCTGTGTACCTATGTAGATGTCCCCCACCTCCAATATGTACTCCACGATGGCTGTAATGAGTTCTCCAGATCTCCCCATGTGGTGAAATGACCCTGCCAAGGCACTGGGATCTAGCACCCCCATGCCTATCACAGGGCATGGGGCTCCCAAAAGAGCCTCCCCAGGCCCTCCAAGGTGTGAGAGGAGCATTTGCCCCTGCTCTTGACCCAGGAGGAAAGCGCTCCACTGGAGAACTTTGGCCTCATGGGCCAGGTGTCAGGAGGATGGTGGCACCTCAGATTAGGGGACTAGCTTTGAAACAAGAGCCTCACATCAGTCTCTCCCCACCCCTCTAACCTGCCCCAAATGACTTCTTTCCAAACAGGCACCTGCTTAGAGCGAGGGCCCTGGGTTTTGGAAACGGTTGGCCCACAAGCCCACTGGCATTGCGGGCTGATTAAAGTTAGCCACAACTCTTTGCTTAACAGCTGGAATTAAGAAGATTCACGTCTGAAGTTGGAGGTGCCAGCACTCTGGCTCCGGCAGCCTTTCCAGCAGCACTGAGGGGGATGTGCCTGGAGCAGACATCTGGATATCACTTGTTTCCTCCCCCAGACGCTGAGTCTGCTTACAGACAGTGAGTCTGGGCAGCTCTAGAGACGGGCACGCTGCCCTTGGCATGGGGCATAGACCCTGAGGCAGCTCAGCTAATGTGTAGAAAGCACCAGGCACTAGGCTAGGAACACAAGACCCAGAAAAGCAAGCAAGACTTGGCTCTGTCTTCCAGGGATTCACAGTCCAGGGGTCAACAACACAGAGGCAGGAGCAAGAGCAGAGCAGAGTGGGGAGCCCAAGGTGGGGCATTCCAAAGCCAGCCTGGGGACAGCAGGTCTGGGAAGGCTTCCTGGAAGAGGTGGCAAATGAGTGAACTCAAAGAATGAACAAAAATCTGACTGGCAAGGCAGGGGGTTGGGGGTGGGAGACGCTGGGGGACATCGAAGAGAACACTGTTGCTGTGGGAGGGGAGGGGGGCAGTTGTCAAAGGCCACAGGGCATGTGGCCCGGCTGAAGGCTGTGGTGAGCCTGGCAGAGTCTCCAGCCAGGGAGTACATGGATGGAGCAGCATCCCAAATGCCTGTCCTGGCCATGGTGAGGCGCTAACAGGAAGGACAGGGGCCCTGTGGAGGGAGGGAAGGGCTGGAAAGCAGGCAATGGTCAGGGCAGGGGAGGGGGACAAGGGATTGAAATAAGAGGTTAAGAGGGAAACTGGGCAGGCTGATGGCACAGAACAGAGTGCAGGGAGATGCCAGGCTCCCAACTTGGGAAACATGGGACAGAGGGGGGCCCAGTCTGGAAAGTGCAGAATGCTGTGTGCCTGGCTCAGGGGTGAGCCATCAGGTCTTCATAGCTCTGGTGTCCCAGCTGGGCCACAGGGGGTCTTTGCCCTGGCCCCAGCCCACCTCTGGGACTTGGCTGGTCACCACCCATGCCCTCTGGCCCCAGCTGGTGCCAATCCCAGGCCAAGTTGAGGAACTTTCCGAGGACAGTGGCCATGACGCCTCCATGCCGTAACCCCACCCCTCGGTCTGATACCCCATTTTTATTCCCATTGAAAAATCACCTTTAGATAAAACTCAGAAACTGGCCCTTTCCCCACAGCCCTCACATAGGGAGGATCCCGCACGCCCTGAACTGTCACGGGCTTCTTCCTATGACTGTCCCACCCCCACCTGTCCCATTTCCATCCTCCAGGCTCTAACTGATCCCACTGTGGCTCCTACAGCAAATGGGTTCTCCTTTCCCACCACCTGCCCCAGAGTTCCTGTTCAGCAGAGCAAATGGTGGCACCGAGGGGAACAGACAGCGCCCTGTGTGGCCCTGTGGGGCCATGCGCTCACCTGGCTGTACGGGTAGAAGAGGGTGCAGATGGCGCAGTAGGGCTCGGTGAGGGCAGCCACCGCGTTGAACTTCCTCTCAGCCTGGAAGCTGGCAGCCTTGTTCTTCCACTGCAGGGACAGCAGGGACCTCAAGGCCTCGGGGTCACTCATGTCCTCCTCCCCGGAGAAAGGGAAGGCTTCTAGAGTAAGGGGGGCGGGGGAGAAAAAGTTAAACCTCGCCTGAGGTTCACTTCCCACCTCGAAGGGTGGGTTTTTTACTGCCCAGAGAATTCTTGGTGATGTGTCCTCACTTACACAGCCCCCGAGTCTCTCTGCAGAGAGGCCACCAAGCCACCCAGGATGGGGTGGAGGGGGCTGGTCCTGTTGGGGGTGGGAGATGGGCTGAGCCAAACCTTGGCAGGTCAGGTAGGATCTTGAGTCCAAAGGAGCCAAAAGAGTGTGGCTGAGAGTTGTGGAGGGGAAGCGGGTAGGAGGGGGAGAGGTGGTGTCACCAGAAAGTCCTATTAAGGCAGTGGTTCTCAACCTTCCTAATGCCGCGACCCTTTAATACAGCTCCTCATGTTGTGGTGACCCCCAATCATAAAATTATTTTCGTTGCTACTTCATAACTGTAATTTTGCTACTGTTATGAATCGTAATGTAAATATCTGATATGCAGGATGTATTTTCATTGTCACAAATTGAACATAATTAAAGCATAGTGATTAATCACAAAAACAATATGTAATTATGTATGTGTTTTCCGATGGTCTTAGGCGACCCCTGTGAAAGGGTCATTTGACCCCCAAAGGGGTCGCGACCCACAGGCTGAGAACCGCTGTATTAAGGGAAGATGGAGGTCACTAATTAGAGGGTCTCTTCCGTCCCCCCTCCCCCGCCCTGCCTGTCATCACCTCACGGCCGCCATTACCAGCCCCTGTCCCCGAAGTCTCATTGCTGGGTTTCCTGAGCACCTGAGACTCAGCGCTCCCCTGGGAGCCTGCCCTGGAAGCCAGTGCTCAATCCTGAGGCCCCAACCTTCACAGCGGCATCTTCCTCGAGACCCCTTCCACTCCTGGGAGCTCAACGCTGTGATCCATGGAGCTTCTAGAACCCTCCCTGCCCTAGCCTTCAAATTAGATTCAGAATAAAAGAAGCCATCCAGAAGATTTTCAAATTCCACATGCTTCTTAAGCGGAAGGCTAAAGCGGAAGATGAAAAACTGGCTTCTCAGGGTTTCTGCCCACGAAATAGCAGCTCTAGCCGAGTGTTAAGTACAAGCGTCTCATCTCCAAGCCTCCGCCGCTACGGCTTGGCGGCTCCAGATCCAACTCCCACAGCCCAGCGGCTCAAAGAGTCACTTCTGCTGCAACTGGTGGCTCCCCAGCCTGTGTCACCTCTCTCCCCGCACCCCCCTATGTCCAGCCATAGGTCTAAGCCCTGGGTGTCTCCAATGACAGCTGTCTGCCTGGGGAGGGGTGTTTCAAAGGTTTCCTCTAGTCACACAGCCTGGGGCCCGAGCAGGCAGGGGACAGCAGCCTCGCTCACCCTCATCACTGGATGCCTCCTGCTTGACCACTGACAGAGGGGAACGGGTGGGCGGCTTGCCCAGAGGGTGGCGCCGGCTCTTCTTGATCTCCATCTTCAACTTGGAGAACGTTGACTGAGCCTGAAACACAGGACAGGAAGTGTCTTTGAGTCACAGCTCAGAGACGGGAGCAGGTTCAGCCCAGTGGTGCCTCAGTTTCCCCAGCAGGAAGAGGTGGCAAGAGCCACTGTGGTTTCTAAACCACCCACACGCTGTAGGCCTCTGTGAGCCATGGGGGCCATTTCATGAGCAGGGATGCTGTGGCCAGTGCACAGGGACAGGCAGGATCCCCAGCCCCAGGGAGCCTGGAGGGCATCCTACCTGCACTTCGCCGGCTCCACTGTCCTCCTCAGGCTCCGTCAGCTCCATGGGGGCTAGCTGCTCCTTCCAGGTGGGGCCCTTCTGGGGAAAGTGCTCAGACGCCTGCTGGCAGGACACTCGGCCCTTCTCACACGTGGCTTGGCTGGCCCAGGGCACCACATACAACATGGGGATGATGGGGCGGGGCTTGGGCTCCAGCTCCTCGCCAGGTGCCTCGGGGGGCATGACATTGAGGGGCGGTGGCAAGGGGCTCTCCTCAGTGACTTCAGGGCCGGGGGTCAGCACTGGGGGCTCCAGTGGGGGCGGTGGCACCTCCTCACCGGGGAACTGGGGGGGCAGGGGTGGTGGCAGCTCGGGTAGGAGTGGGTGGTGAGGGTGCAGGGGGCTCTTCTTCTTCCGGTCGCCCTTGGCCTTGGCTGGCCGCAGCTTGCCCCTCCTGTCCTCTGTGAGGAGAGAGGAAAGACCGGTCACAGCTGAGGCCAGTGGCCATGCACCCTCGTGGGAACCCCCTGACGCAGGCAGGAGCTGGCTGGAGGGGAGGAGAAACCCCTCTGGACTTCCCCAAAAGAACACAGGCTTCGAGCAAGTTAAAATCACTGCCAGTTATGCTGCCAGGTGGCAGGAAACCAGCCACTTCCGAGTCTTGGGGGAACCCCCACCCCTGCCCTCACCTCTGGGTTCTGTACGTGCTCAAAGCACCTTCTGGAATTAGCTTGAGGTAGAGGAAAGGCATGTGTCTTTCCCAAGGGGTGGGGTAGAAGAGGCAGGATTTGTTTTCCTTTCGGATATCTGAGTTTTGTGTATTTCTACAGTAAAAACACACAACTTGCAGAATTTTTTAAAAGCAAAGACTCAAACAATAAACCATAAAGGAGAAGTCACTTAAGTGGAACCAAGAGCAGATGGGCATGGAGGGCCCGGAACACCCTTCCGCCCCCAACGGCCGGTGCTGGGGGATTTCCTGACAGGGGACAGGGCGGGGTGAGAAGTAGATGAGGCGTGTCTCCCATGGCATTTTAATTGGGGGCCAGGATGGGTGTGTGTGGTCAGCAGAATCATGGCAGCCCCAGGGACTCTCCTCTCAAGGATGACAGGCCTGGCGATGACCTACCAGGGCGAGCTGGGAGCACAGCGAGCTCTAGAGCCCTCAGGCCTTGCCTGCCCCGTCTGGAGAATGGGCACATAGAACATCTGGGTGTCCCAGGTCCCCGGGGGTTTAGGATGCTACATAAAGAGGAACACTGGGTCGGAACCAGGGGACCAACTATTTTGGCTGCCTGCAACGGAGGGGCTCCTGAACACCCTGGGATGAGGGTCGGAGGCCCAGAGTTACCTGTGCTCGACAGTCTCAGGCTGGGAAAATAAGGACAAATGGAGGGCAAGGATCTGTCCCTCTCCATGCGAAACTAGTGACAACAGGAAGTATAATGAGTTCTGGTGTGCAACACGGCATCCACATTTTTACCTCTTGCTATAAAAACCCGTCCATATGTCACCCGTTCCTCAGCCAAAGATGACGGAATAAGTGCTGATGACCTTGGGTGAGGGCTTGTCACTTAACCCCTGATCGGCACTGTGACTCCAAGAAGGAACAAGCAAGGAACCTCCCTGCCAGCAGACACCCAGCCCAAAGCATTGAGAGGAGCCGAATCGCCCACTCACCCCCAATAAGGGGGCTGCAGAGCTTGGAACCAGGCCTCTGGAACCATGAGGACGTGCCCCAGTCCCCCTCCCCCTCCCCCTCCCCTTCTCCACTCCCTGCTCCCATCCTCCCGCGTCTGCAGCTGCAGCCCTGCACTGGCTCATCTGGGACAGCCCATGGTGTCCTTGGCAAGCATAACCTGCGTCTTTCAAGAGAGGCTCCATCAGCCGGAAGACAGGGAATGCTCACCCCCACCCTGGCCCCTGCCTTCTGGTCCTGAGTCTTCTGGAGGCACCAAGGATTCTTCCCTCGCCTTTGCCCCACCAAGGGGAGCCTTGGCCCCCTTCCGCCAGACCCTCATGAGTCTGGTCAAGCTATCTGCCAAGGAAAGCAAATAATAGACCTCCCTCCCCTCCAGTAGTGGATGGCTCCCTACAACAAAGGCCCCGTCCCCATCCAGGGACGTGGAGGGAGGGAGATGTGGAGCATTGCTCAGTAACGCCTCGTAACAGCACCATGGCCCCGGGAGGTGACCGGAAGGTGACCAGGGGCCTGGGAGATCAGTGGCCAGAGTGGTGTTGGGGCTAATTTACAGAACCAGCACAGAGGCTGGCCCTAGAGCCGCTATCCTATTTGTGTAAAAGGCACTTTCAGATAAATGCTTTGTTCTCTAAAGAAATTCAGTATTTCTTCCTCCCTCATAGTCCAAATACTGAATGGAAATCACACAGGTCTGTCATCCTGAGGACAGTGGGTCCAATTTACTCTCTACTCTGGAGACTCTACTGTCAAAAAGGTACGAGTTCCGGCCTTTTCCTCATGTCTCCAGGCTCTGGGAAGCCAAGGGAGACAAACACACAGAGGGCCCTTAAGGGGACAAGCCCAAGGTCAGGAAGGATACCTGGGGGCTCAGGGCTCTGTTACCACAGGACTCCCCTCCCACCTCATACCCCATCAGAGGCCACACTGCCAGACCTCAGCAAGCTCCCCACCTGCTGGGGCCTGAGGAAGCCTCAAAATGGAGCAGAAATGTCACATTAAAAGGGCTTAAGGTCACTCTGGCTGGTATGCTAAGTGGTTAGAGCATCAGCCCCGCACTGAGGGGTCATGGGCTCAATTCCCAAAGGCATGTAAACTGGGTTGCAGATTTGATCCCCAACCCCAGTCAGGGTGCATCCTGGAGGCAACCAATTGATGTGTCTCTCACATCAATGTTTCTCTTTCCCCTCCCTTCTATTCTCTCTAAAAATCAATGGAAAAATTATCCTCGGGTGAGGATTAATAGGAAAAAAAAGGGCTTAGGGTCAAGGGAAAAAAAGGGAGGCTTAGGATCCCAGCCAGTCCCTCCCCAGCAGGTAGGGCCACCTACCTCCTGGGGTTCAGGACACAGGTGGGCAGAATGCGGGTCCCTGCCCCCCTCCCATAGCAGACGAGCTGAGGCCCTTCTAGTACTATTCTTAGACGTGGGGAGGATGCCACAGCCAAAACCACCCCCTACCCCCATTGGATTTTATCAACCTGATTGGTTCTTTGGAGTTCCCACACCTTCTCTATGGCACCGAGTTCATGGCGGGGGGGAGGGGGAGAGGGGGATAAGGAGGTGCACTAAGATGACGTGATAGATCTGGGATCCCAAGCTCAACTTCTGCTATACGTTGCCCACAGAAGGGGGTGGTGGCCTCATGACTGCAATCTGGCTTAGAGACCCTCCACTCCACACCCTTCCACCCCCTGCCCAGTTTGGGCGAGCTGATCTTGGTCCCATGGTCCAGGCCACTCTTGTCAACTCTGCATTCTTCCCATGCAGAGCCCGAGGCAGGGATGCAGCCTGGTGTGGGTGAGGCCTGGATGGACTGTGCTTGGGCGGGGGCGGGGGGGGGGGCGTCCTACATGGCAATATGTGTCTCCAAGTGAAGACACATAAAGGCCCAGCCCATCTGTTCCCTGCTAGGTACAGGAGCCTTTGCTGTCCTGTCCTAAAGCCAGTCACAAGCTGTCAGGCCACTCCTGAAACCAGAGGCTCCATGACCATCAACTGCAACTGCCCACAGCACATACTGCTCACAGGGTGCTCCTGTCTCCTCGAGACCCTGGGAGGTCTCAGGGTGGGTCCCTCTGGCTGCGTGCTCTGCCTAGGAGTGTACGGCACTGTGGCGGGACCAGCCCTCCTGGGTCTTGGCACTGTCCCTGCTGCCCCATCTCCCAAAAGGCCATGCCCAAGTACAGGTGGGGCCAGAGCACTGCGACATGGCCACGGCCAGGTAGGAGAAAGGAGCCCTTGCTGTCCAGGCAAACCAGGATTGACATGGCTGCCTTCCTGCCTTCTGCCTGGGGGAGGGGTGGGCATGGGGGTGGAGGACAGAGAGAGGCTGCTGGTCCTTCCCAGGGCAGCAGCTCTTCCCAGACCACCCAGCGGCAGATGTAGAGGGGGACACCTGCAGCTGGGAAGCAGCCTCCCAGGCCCTAGGGCCCCATCAGCCAGCCCAGGGTCCCTCCCACCCCCGGGGGCTTCCTCCTGTCCCTCCAGCACCCAGATGCTGTCAGAGCAACAGCAAATGGTCTCCCTTTGCAAACACAAAATTATTGTTCACACATGACATGATCCTTAGCACTTACAGCTTTTAGGGACATTAAGCTGGTATTAAAGGAAGTCTGGAAACCACTTTAAAACCTTCTACTCATTCCCCAATGTGTTTGCTGTCACCCCTGACTGCAAACACTTATTTGATGTGTTCAGAGTTGTCTTCCCACCAAGGGCTCAAGAGATGGCTCCCAGGAGGCTCTCTAGCAGTGGCAGCCACATCCGGTGCCCCCAGGGGACCACTTCCTTTCTAGAAAAAGACCCCCCACACACAACCCAACTCCTCCTCCTTGGGATCAGGGCTCTGTCATGGGACAGGGACAAGGTGGGTGGTGAACACTGGGAAGCACTCTCAGCCCTGAGCAGACACACCACCCCGGAAATGGCCCCATCCTTGCTGGGGTCCATGTGCCGCTGGAAGCCATGAAAGCCACAGCCCTGGAGGACTGCACCGAGGCCTGGCCACATGACACCATAATGACACTGTGACCATCCCTGCAATGCAGACCCTGAAGCCCTTTGGGAAAAGGCCCAGGGGTCCTGGGGTGAGACTGTTGAGGGGAAGGGGAGTGACTGCAACGACTGGTGAGGAGAGCACGTGTCCTCCATGTCCCCCTCCATGTGGCTTGTGGTTTCACCCATAGCGCATGTTTTAGTCTCAAGGGACACGAAACCTCCTGTTTAGGCAGCCAGATGGGGAAGCAGCCTCCTATCATGAGGCCCTAGGTCCCGGGGCCCACCTCGGAGAGCTCATTATTAACCATCACAACCCAAGCTCGACTACCCAAATGCCTTACAGAACGTGCGTGTTCATTCGTATTTACGTCCAAGAGCACACACAACGCCAGTGCCGTGCCTGAAGGACCATGGCACGTGACACCATGTGCCCCTCCCAGACCCCCCCACCCCCACTCAGGGAGCCCCCAGGAGTAACCCAAGGCTTCTCTCTCTTGGTTTTCGTGTATTTATTCTCTATTATGGGCTGAATTATGTCCCCAAACCCCAAATCCTATGTTGAAGTCCTACTCCCAGTGCCCCAGAATGTGGCCTTATTTAGAGTCACTGCAGATGTCATAAGCTCAGGTGAGGTCATCAGGGAGGCCCTAATCCAATGTGACTGGTGTCCTCGTGACAGGGACATTAGGGCAGAGATGCTGGCACAGGGAGAACGCCATGTGAATGCAAAGACGGCATCTACAAGCCAAGGAGAGAGGCCTCAGAAGGAACCAGGTCTGCCAACACCTTGAATCATGGGCTTCTGGCCTCCAGATCCATGAGACGAGAAACTGTTTTTGAAGCCCCCGTAGCCCATCTGGGTGCTTCGTTAGGCAGCCTAAGACGACTCAACCGCTCCCTCAACAACCCACTGTCCAGCTGGCGAGTTTTCTGAACTGTAAGTAAATGGGACATTGCACACGTGCCCCCCGACATTTGAGGCTACCTCTGCGAGTCCCCTGGGCACAGACAGTGACCTTCACCCCTCCCACCTACAGTGGAGGGGGTGCTCACTCCTGCCCTGTGAACTGAGTCCCCAGACCTCCCCTGACTCTCCTCTTCTACCTCTCTCTCTCCATCTACATTTAGATCGAACCCCCACACCCTAATGGGATCCTGAAGGAGCTGAGAACCCCCAGGTAGTGGTTGGGAGAGTGGGGACTGGACCTTCACACGGGGGAGTTCTCCCAACACACATGGCTTCATTTATTTACCAATTCTTCCTTACTTTTCAAAAATGTCTCTAATTTTCTCCATAAAGGTCTTTTATTTGTTGTTAGCTTTGTTCCAAGGTGCTTACTCCTTGGTTGCTGTTACTGTAGGTAGCATCCCAACAATGCTGCCGTCTGCCCATGGCTGGCCATGGGAATGAGACCTGACTTCTGTGTGGGGCTCATTCGGCTCCTCTACCGGGTCAATGACCCGATGGCTCAGTCCCCACATCCCTTTCTACGTAGGGGATCACGCCTATGCCCAGATATTGCCAGCACATGCTTCCTCGCCAACTAGGCGCCTTCTTGCTCCATCCTGCCTTCTGGACCTCCTGGGTGTGTGACGCCCCACTAGACAAGCACGTGCTGGAACGTCTGGGAAGGCGCCAGCACACAATTCACCCAGAAATGCTCTGCTCTTCCCCTTGTGAGTGCCTGAGGGTCCCCCTCAGAGACACTCACCTGCCAGCCAGGGGACAGTCACTCCCTAACTGGGAACCCTAGCATCGGCCTGTGGGTACGTCCAGGTACGTCTCCAACTGTGACGTATGGATAGTCACCTTGGATGCCACATCCTGGTGAGCACACGATGCTGAAATAGGCAGGGCCGTGCTGAGCTCACACATCCCAAGACACAGACATCAAGAGGGGAACTGAGGACCCAAGCAGAACCCTCCGGTGACTATGGCCTGTGACCGGGGCCTGAGGCACGACCCCCAGGCAATCACCATCTGGGCCTCATTATTGCCCAGAGCCTGGAAGGGGCCAGAGAGGAGAGGCCCCTCATCTACCCTGGGAGCAGCTGCTATGTGCAAACGTGGGAGTAGCTAAAGCTATAAATTAGAAAAATGAAACGAGCTATAAAAAAGAAAAGGAAATGCTGTAAAACATGGGAGTGGGAACCTTTAAAACACATACTAATGTTCCATGGCTAACATGGTCCTGTGCTGTGTGAAGGGTATGTTTCTGAGACACTCCACCACGGCCCCAGCGCAGGCTCACCAACATCTGGCCACTTTCACGATGGGCAGACTCTGCTGTGGCTGAATGTCCCCCAAGATGCATTATGTTGAAACCTACCCCCCAAGGCGATGGTCTCAAGAGATGGGGCCTATGGGATGTAATCGGGCCATGAGAGCAGGACCCTCATTAACTGGATCGGTGCCCTGACAGCAAAGGCCACAGAGCTCGCTGCTCCTCCACGTGTGGCCACAGCGTGAAGGCAGCCATCTGCGACCTGGAAGAGGGCCTCACCAGGCCCCGGCCACACAGCACCCCGATCTCAACCCCCTGCCTCCAGAAACACGAGGCTGCTGTTTTTAAGCTGCCTGGCCTGTGGTGTTCTGTGAGAACAGCCCAAGTGGACTGAGACCGCCTCTTCAGTTTCTGGGAGAAGAGGGACTTTTCACAGCACCCCTAGAACATACATGTCTTATGAAATGCCTCACCCAGCCAGGAAAGCACATGAAATGGGTTCTTAAAGAGCAGAAACCCTGTACTCAGAGCGAAGATGGCTCTTTCCACCGGCCGGGGGTCAGGAAGGAGCCGGCGTGGGCACCAGGCCCGGCCTCCCTGCCCGGCTGTAACTGACCTTCTGTGCCCTCTGCCTCCCGGCCCTGCGGTGGCAGCTGGGGATCCTCCTCCTCATCCTCGGGATCCGCCTCCTGTGCAGTCTCCTCTTTCGCACTACCACTGGTCTCCTCGGGAGGAGCCGTCCCAGCCGCCCCCTCCCCGGGCAACTTGGGGTCTTCTGGCTTGGGCTTCTTGGGCTGACTGCGTTTCCGGTGAGACCTGGAGAGGGGAAGTCATCAGAAAGGAGGTGAAACAGCAGAGGGGAGAGCCCCAGATCTGTGCTCGGCAGTACGGAGCCTCCACAACCAGAATCAGGGGACAGGGGACAGGGGACCTTCAGGAGGTGGCTCCAGGGGCCAGGGCAGGGGTGGTGGAGGGAGAGAGGCCTGGGAGGGGTGGGGAGGGCAATGGGATGGTGGGGCCATGTCAAAGCGGGTGCTGATGACAGCTGGAGATGGGATGACTGGATGAACCTGGGTTCCAGGAGCCCCCGTGTGGTGGGGGTGGGAGGGACAGGGAGCATGATCCCAATGGAAACAGCTGCTGGTGGAAAATGCCTAGACGACAAACAAAACAAAAGGTGCACTTACGACAGGCCCGGCTTTTTGCTCTGCTCTTTCTTCCTCTCTAGATTTGGTTTCCTCTCCTCCTCAGTCTTTTTCCAGTGTCTGCTTTCTTTCAGACTAATTTGTCTAGAATGTAAATGTCAGGGAGTTTTTCTCTAGGACTGGTGTTAACTCCCCAAGACGCCTCATCTAAGGCCTCGACTTCGGCGCCTGCTTCCGTAGGGCTCCCCGTGCGCCTCTCCACACTCCGGAGCTCCACGCCCAGGGAACAACCTGCACCCTTGACCCTCTTCGCCCTGCCACCCGCCTCCAGGTCAGGGCCCGGGCCGGCGGGATGTCGGGTCCCCACATCCAGCTCGGCTCAGGGTGTAACAGTCCTGGGGATGGCGGGGCGAACCTCGCCCACAGTGAGAATTCAAGCTGAGGCTTAGCTACGGCTTCTTAGTGAAAAGGAGAGAGAATTGGGTTAAAAAGGAAGAAAAGAAAGCAACAAAGGGGGTGGGCCTGCAGATTAGTGCCAGGCACCCCTGTAGGGGTTCTGGGAAACAGGGTCCTGGAGCCTTCCGGGAGGGGACAGAGCAGCTTTGAGACAGACAGGAGGCGTGTAGTACCCCAGGAGCTCAGGCAGAGGCAGGTGTGTGGAGAGGCCCAGCCTTGGGCAGGGCATTGACGCCCTCCAGAGAATGGGGGTGATACCCTCCCACATGGCCGCCGGCTCCAGGCCTAATGACCAGCCCCCACTACCTTTTCATCTATCCCAGTCTGCAACCGGAGAATGTTGACGTTTCCAAGAGAGGTGCTGGCTGCAGCTTCCCTTGTCCATGAATTCTCCTGTGGCCCCAGTGAGGTCAGACTCAGATATGAAGACCTTTTGGGGGTCCCCATGGCAGCCACACCTCCAAGGACCAACATTCACTAAGCAGAAGCAGGGCTATCTGAGCAGGGAAGGGTAGGAGCCCAGGGAGGCCCCGAGGGCTCCTGACACCAGGACCCCTACCTCCCACCTGGGACCTGACAGCCTCCGTGATGCCTCCCCAGCCCATCCCTGCTCTCCATGTGGCTTCTGGGGCGCCCCTCCTAACCGTCTTCTAACACTAACCTTGGCTGGTTGTTCTCATGGCTTGGCTGCCTACCTCAAGGGCCCTAGTCTCTGCTGCTCCATCTCCCGAGCACAGTGGGCACGTGACAAGCCCCACTTGATGTTTGCAGCATGAATCACCCCATGACCAAAGGTGAAAAGCAGGGAGCATTCGGTGGGGATTGAGCAACATGGGCAGAGGCATGGCATCACACACAGCATGGCGTGCAAGGGTCACTGTGAAGGGGATAGGGCAGGGGCGGAAGGGGACACAGGAGCCACAGATGCTCCCCACCACAGCAGAGCCACCAGCGAATCCGCACCGGGTCAGTTTGGGAAATGCCAGGTATGGCCCCACAGTGAAATGGGTAGCAAGCCCCAAGACCTGGCGGTAGATGTAGCTGGCTTTCGTCACCAGCTGTCACCTGAGGAAGGGCTTCTCTCCACGTCTAGAAATGATGCGGGGCTACAGGGCTACCAGGCTGAGTGCCCAAAGCGAACCCCCACGCTGGCCCCACACCCAGTAGAGGGGTGTTCTCCTACTGCCAACTCACCTGGCCTCGGCTTCCCGTAGCTGCCCAGCCCCTCGGTGCCCTCTCACCCCACCCCAGGACTGGCACTTCTGGCCCTGCCCACCCAATCCCAGGGCTGACCAGTAGTGTCCCCACTGGGGCCCTATCTGTCCAGAGAGCCAGGTCTCCCTCGTCCCCCTACACTCCATCAGCCTCAGAGCTCTGGGGCCCCCCAGCACCACTGGTCACCCCCCCAATACAGAGACCCCCAGAATGAGTGGAACTAGGTTGACAGACTTAAGCAGAGGGCTACTCCCTACTGCAGAGAGAAGGCAAGATGAATGTCAGCACTCAAAGAAATACACATTTTGTGAGTACATAAGCTGGGAGACTAACACAGGAAGAACCTGTGGCCAATTTGCCACGGGTGGGGAGGGGGGGTGGGGAGGGGAGACATCCACCAGGCGCATCCTTATCATATTCCAACCATAACAGCATCCCCCGGGCTGCTCCCCAGACACGAGACCCTCCTCTCTTCTAGCTGTTTCTTCACTTAGTTACTTCCATGCGTCTCCCCCACGCTGCTTCCTTTTTATGTTTTAATTTTTTTGGTTTGGCTTCCTTTGCATAGTTACCAAGAGGCTCTTAGTTACCACTCAGGGTGTGGCTATGCTCCCTGCTTCCACATCCACCAGCTTCTCTGCCTGAATCTGCCACCACCTTCGGTTGTGGTGAAATTCCACGTTTGACATTTTACTGACTGTAAATATTGTTCATCCATGCTGCTTGCACTGCAGGCTTTGTTCGCTCTTCCTAGAGTAACTGTTCCTCTCTTAGATGCTTGGCCTCCCTGGTTATCTCCAAGCTCTGGTGTGGTCTCCTACTCCGGGCACCACACACACCTCCCTGGCATCCTTACGTTGAGACTGGTTTGGATTCTCCTGGGTTGGATTTGGTTTCCCTGGTTCTGTGTCTTTCCTGGCTGATGCCATTGCTTAGCTAGAGCACACCCTTTAGCTTTCTCAGAAAGGGGGGAAAACCTGGGATTCTGCATGTCTAAAAAGATCCTATTTCACACATATTTAGTTGGTAATTTCACTAGGTACATACTTCTAAGGCCTCGTCCTTTTTGTCTATTAGCTTGTAGCCTTATGATCACCAAGTCCAATGCCATTTGGGTCCCTTATTCTTTATGTTGGCATTTATTCACTCCCGAAGCTGGAAACCTTCTGTTTAACCAAAGAGTTGTGATATTCCGAGGTGCGTATAATCCTCATCCCGTGCCAGGCTCTGTAATCTGAAAACGTCTTTGGTTCTTGCGAATCATTCTTTTCTCTTTTCCTAAAACCCCTAGTAGAGGCTGGAGTTCCTCGACTGAGCCTCTGATCTTTCTGTCCTGCCCTCTAGGAGTTTTCCCAAGGTATCTTCCAACCCTCTCTTGTGTTTTCTTTGCTCTCATTTTATTTTTTCATTTTAAAAGTATTTTTATTGATTTCAGAGAGGGAGAGGGAGAGAGAAACATTGATGATGAGGGAATCACTGATCAGCTGCCTCCTGCACACCTCCTACTGGGGATTGAGCCCACAACCCGGGGCATGTGCCCTGACCGAATGGAACTGTGACCTCCTGATTCATGGGTCAACACTCAACCACTGAGCCACACCAGCTGGGCTTCTTTGCTCTCATTTTAAATGTCCAAGAGCCATTTCTTTCCTACATGTTTCTTTTTATAGCAACAGGTGCTTCTATCATAAATGCACAGAAGAAGGTAAGCTTCCTTGCTCCTTGCCTCATCTCTTTCTGGGGAGTTCTGCTTTTCCCTTTTGTTTGAGACACTCTGTCTTCCACTGAGTTTCCTCAGAGGTTTAGGGACCTCTGGCTGAGTTGTGTGAGGGACTAAGAAGGTTGTTGGTGGCTATGCATGGGTGAGCAGGGCTTGCTGAAGGGGATGGAGAGGGCAGGAGTCCAGTCATTTCAAGGGGGACCCCCAACATCGGAACCTATAGCTTTGCTGGGCTATTCTGTGACCCAGAGAGGACCCTTACAGTCTCTGGCCTTGGGGTTAGAGGCACGTGGGGCTGGCAGCCAGGCTCCCACAACCTCACCTTCAGGAAGGCCCCTCCCTCTGGCCCAGAACCACCCAGGCTTGACCTCACCAGGCAGCAGGGCCACCGTCCTCTGGTGGGAGTTAGGGTGGAGTGAGGGGTGCCCCCAGCCCAGCAGTTCCTTACACACTGGCCTGCAGCCCATCTTGGTGCTGTCCCAGGAGGTGTCCACATCTGGAAACCTATGCCTTTCCGAAGTTCCTCAGCACAAACTAGCCGCACCCTGTCTGTGAGCCCTTGAACTGAGCCTCCTCTGTGCTGCAGTCAGGTACCTGTTGGCCATCCTTTCCTCCTCTTCCAAGTCTGCTGCAGCTGCTCAGTTGGCCCCCTTGCCCATTTGTCACTCCTTTACAGTCATTTTAGTGGCATTTCATGGGAGGATGGAGATAAATGAGCACTTTGTCAGGCTTAACTGGACGTTACTTAGTTAAGTTTATACAAACCAAATATTGGAACTGAGTTCAAATACCTGTACTAATATTTCCAAGATGGAAGTGGGTGTCCTTGGAACCTAAATGGCAGGAGAGGCAGAGCGGGGGCTCCCCATGGGCCCCACTTTATACAGTGGGCTCAGAGTGGCTCTGGGCTTGGGAACCAAGGGGCCCCAAGCACACAATCCCTCTGTTCCCTAAGGCAGGACTGTCAACCCTCACAGGACCAGCTTTTACCCAGAGGGAGTTTGGAGCATCCAAGGCTGTTGGTGCCAGAGCAGCCCCTGGGTCAGGGTGCAAGAGGCTGTGAGCTCTGTACCCCAGGGCCCTTCTCCCCTTCACCCGGACCCAGGACATGTGCCCCTCTCCTCCTACTACTCCCTGCCCACATAGACAAGTGGGTGTGTGGCGTCTAGAGGCTTTTTGCCTCTGAGAAATTGCTGAGGGTGTTCTGGGGAAGAACAATTTAGGAAACATTCAGTAAGTCGCCAGGGCAACCCTGGCAAGAGTAGGGTCAGAGGCTCAATGGTGTCCAGTGTCTAGTCAGGAGGCATCAAAGGGGGTGCTGGAGCTGCTCCTGGCTCCTCATTTCCATGGTGATCCGAGAGGTGGTGAGAGGTGGTGCGGGTGGGCAAGCAGGGCCAGGGGGCTCTTGGCCACGCTCAGCTGGTGGCTTCCCCCATGGACGGCATGGGTAGCTGGAGGTCACAGCCAGTGGAGCTAGCAGGGGCTGGAATGGACGGGAACCCTGGGTCCTGGTGAGGAAGCACATATCCTCTCTGCATTAGCATGGTGGTGGCAGCTCAGATGTTCCACAAGCATGTGTGCAGCAAGCTGAATGCACACCTGCTGCAACATGTGGTCAATGGGCTGCGTTTCTTGATGTTCTCATTGGAAGTAACAAGGAGGCGGGAGGAAAAGACAGTCTGCACATGGAGAAGGGCTGCGGGTAGGAATGGGAGGAGGGGAGGCTGGCAGAGACCGGGCCTGGGAGAGGCGCCAGACTCTATGATGGCCTGTGCCAGCAAAGCAGGATCCCACCTGGTAGTGAGGGCCGAAGAGGCCACACAGCCGGGAGCAAGAAGTCCCAGCTTTGTGCCCTGTTTGTCACGGGGGAGGGCCAGTGCATTCAGCAAGATTTAGGCATGGAAGATCAACCCGAGGGAGGGTGATGAGATCATTCTCTCCTGGAGAGGCCAACACTTGGCCTCTGCTCTAAGATGACATGTGGGGCTCAGTGTGGGGGGCTGTCAGGAAGGCTGGACCCTCCATGTAGGGGTGAGGGTGGGGGGGACCTGGCTGGGTCGGTCTGAGCAGGGACCAGGGAGCAGTTGCAGGGCCAAAGGACAAGGCGAAGCTGCAGGGGGACATGAGGAGTGGGGATGGACAGCAGATGAACATGGAGCCCACTTCAATGCCACCACCTCTGCCTAGGGCAGGGTTTCCAACCAGGGACACTGGATGCTGCCTAGGACATCTGTGGCCATTAGAACTGGGACTGGGGAGCTCTTGGCATTGACTAGGAGGGGGCGCGGATGCTGCTCAACACCCTACAGTGCCCAAAGGGGCCCCCACAGAGAATGATGAGCCTAAGTGTCCACAGTGCAGGGGTACAGGGGACAGTTCAGGGGAGGAGACACACAACCCTGGTCTAGAAGCCACATTTGCCCTACCTGTATCTAGCCCAAGCCGCCCTTCCCTCAAAACAAACTCTCTGAGGCCCCGGAGAGCACCCCCCTCAGTGGAGATGAGGGGCAGGGGCAGGACGACCATGTGTTGTGGGCACTGGGCCAGGAGAGAAAGGTACAGGCAATTGTGAGAGTCACTGACTCTCAGGTTGAGGGTAGCAGTCTTGGGATTTGAAATGCCAGTCCCCCAATCAACCTTTATAGAGAAAGCTCCTCTATGATTTAAAAAAAAAGGGGGGGGGGGGTCTGTCTTATTTTACATACTGAAAGCTTTAAAGAAAATTATATCCTTGGGGACACGACTTAATTTGTTATTCAATCCCTCTGTCGGAATATTACAGCTCCCCAGGTCGGAAGCAGAGGAGGCTGAGACGAGAGAGGAACGCTCCAGAAAGGAACAGAGCGTGACAAGCGGGCCAACCGCCCTCTACTGAGGGCTGGCTGGGCTCAGGGAGTGAGGGGGGCAGCTGGCTGTGGGGAAGCTTCCTCTGCACACAGCAGGCTCCGGCTAAGGGAAGCATAGCTGGCGGGGCCCGGTCCTCTAATCCCATCCATTTCTGGATGTGCGCTTAATTATTGGCAGTCTGCTCTGTTGACCAATTAGACTGAGCCACAATCCATTAGCCGTTATGCAAATGCTGCACTGGGCTCTGTTCAGCAAGCTCACCCTGCTGGGAGGGATCAGGCGCTGCACAGATGGGCCTCACCGAGAGAAGTTGCTTTTCGTGAGAACACACAGGAGAGCGGGAATCAAAAGGACAGACAACAAAAGAAATCAGTAAAGAGAGACTCACCTTCAGGTGGGCTGTCAGGAACAGATGTGAAAGCATTCTGGGCTGATGGAACGTTCTCAAAGGCAGAGGCCAAGGGGTGGGAAAACACGTGGGTGAAGCCAAGACTGCCCAAAGGCTCTGGATTCACACACAAACGCGCTGAAAACTAGAACAGCCCCGTCGGGGAAGAAGGTTCTGGAGCGTGCAGAGTTTAAAGGGTGCTTCTGCAGAGTGTGGGAGTGCCGCCAACAGGCACAGCCAAAGGGAGGAACTGTCCGAGTGCCCCCACCTCCTCAATGCCTGTCCCTGGGGCCAACTGTCCGTCATCAGTGGGGACAAGAGAAGCCAGAAGTGACCAAGAGGCTACAATTGGAAAACCTCACCCGAGGCCCAAACCCACCCACTGCCTGTTCTGGTGTGGCCCCCCAGCTAAGAAAGTTGTTTCCATCTTTAACTGGTAAAAAGTTAAAAGAATAATAATAATGTGACATGTGAAAGTGATATAAAGTTCCAACTTCAGTCCACAAATAGTTTCACTAGGGCACACCACATTCACTGTTTATGCAAAGCCTACTGTCTGTGGTGGCTTTCGCAGTGAGGACTTGCTGAACATTCCTTGGGCACCAAAACTGAGTGCGTTGGAACTCTGTCTGAGTAGCTCAGAGCCCTGAAAGCCTTGACGTTTCCCAGAGAAGAGAGGAAAATGGGGCCGCCGCTTCTGGGGCTACAAGGCGATACCCAGACACAGTGCTCACTGCTATCTCCCTCCTGGCAGGAAGTCGATTTCTTCCTCTTTCCGGACCTGCCACCCATGCCCCCATGACTATGGTGCTGATGGCAAGAGGGTGCAGCCACTTCACCCCCAATGGTTGCCAGGCCCGAGGCTGGGCAGCCACCACGCTGTCATAAAAGGCATGAGCCAGGAGGGGGCTCCCTGAGATGGAATGAGGGTGGCAAAGGATGTCCCTGGGAGGACGGGTCTCTCAGTGACTCCAAGATTGTGAATCTGAGCAGCACATTATCGGAAAAGCCAAAGCGAGCAGTCAAAACATGAAGTGGCAGGGATACGGACCAAGTACTGGACCCCTGTGCCCCACGGCTCCAGCATGGTACCTGCCATCGTTCGGAGTCAAGAAGGAGCCCAACAGCCCCAACACAGAGACCTAGGGCTTCTCACCTAAGGTCACAGCAGACGAGGAAGAGAGACAGCGTGTGCTGTCCCAGAGAGGACCCGGATGGCTGGAGGGTCAAAGGGTCAGCCTCCCAGGAGCTGGTGGACAAGGAGCAGGAGGGAAACTGAGTCTAACAACACAGACACTGCCTGCTACAAGGCCTGCAAACTCGAAAAGGTCAGGGCCTGAGAAACACTCCGACTGAGAAGCAGCAAGATACAGAGGAAGAGGAGGAGAAGAGGAAAGAAAAAGAGGGAGAGAGGGAGGGGACAGCCTGAGGCCACCTGCCAGCAGGGTCTGGCTAGGTTGGGGGTCACTTACGGTCGCCAGCAGTGCCAGGCACAGGGCAGTTCCTTGGCAACTCACCTTCGGAGGAGCTTTGCCTTGAGTGAGGCCCGGGAGGTGCTCCAGGTGCTGAGCTCAGGGCTGCTCAGGGCCGTGGGCCTGGTGTGGTCGAGCACCGTGAAGTCCTTGCCTTGCTTCCACAGCTCATAGCGCTCTGGCTGCAGGATACGCACAAAGACGTCCATGGAGATCTTGACCATGTCCTTCCGGCACGTGCACTGCGGGAGGCAGGAGAGACCCTGAGCCCGAGGGCGAGCCACCCCACACTAGACCTTCTATCATGAGTCAGGAAGTGGTATCTGCCTGTCCCAGGTGAAGGTGAGGCCACTGAATGTCCTTTTCCAAGCTGTACCCTCCCACCCCCCCAAATAGGAGCCTCTGGTCCAACACCTGGCACATGGTGCCAAGGAACAAATGCCAGGTGGCCTGGAGCAGACACTGCCCTGAACAGGAGGGTCCCTGTGTCCACAGCAAAGGGGCAAACACCTGTGATGAGGACAGGTTCAAACACAGTCCTTATGCTCTGAACACCACGCCCTGCAACAAACCACATGTTCTCAGAGCCTCTCCCTCCAGGTTATAGTGTTGTGGTGGCCCCAGGGCTGGGCATGTGCAGGAGGCACCACACCTCAGGTATCCTGGGGACATTTGACACCTGGGGGCGTTAGAGGCCAGAGAAGCCAGCCAAGAATCCCAGAATCTGGACTCCAACAGGGAGCCCTGTCAGCGAGAGGAACCCAGGTGGTCCTGGCCTCCCGCTTACCTGTGCATGAGGCCAAGATCAGATGGGAACCATCCTACTGTGAGAGGGAGGAAGAAACAGAGGGGACTTCTGATCTAGGGCAGGGCTGGCAACCTCCATAAAGGGCCAAGCAATCACCTTTTCAGCTTTGTGGGCCACATGGTCTCTGTTATAACCTCTCAACTCTGCCCTGAAGCTGGGAACCATCAGAGATACTTTAGGAATGGCATGGCTGCGTTTATAAACTTTATTTACAAAAAGAGGCAGGGGCCAGATTTGGCACAGGCTACAGTTTGCTGGCTTCTGGTCTAGGCTCCCAAGGATACAGCAGCCCCTAGAATGGGTGACAGACTCTGGAAGAGGGGTCTCCACAGGGATGGCTGAAGCTGTGTGGAAGTTCGGGAAAAGGGTGCAGAGGATGAGGGGATCTCAGGGATGACCTTGACCCTGAGATGCCGCACTTGCCTTTCTCTAAAGTAGGCACAGTCCTTGCCTTCTTCTGGGGACACGCCTGTCCTGAGAACTGGTGACAGGAGGCCTCGGGGCAGCTGCCCCTCAGGGATACCTATTGCAGCCCCCACAAGCTGGGACCTCTCCCGGCCACTCTATAAACAGGCTCAGGAGAAGCTCATTTCCAACCATGGCTAAAAACTCATCTCCATTTTAAATGCACATCTCTCCCTCCTTTTACAACCTTCTCGCTGTCACTGCCACTTTCTCAATGGAAAAGAAGGAAACAGAAAGGAAAACACTTAATTAAATGAGGCAATTATGTACCCTGCCCTGTCAAGTCCTTCTAACTCCCCTCAATTTTCTCTGGAAACAGTGAAGTATTTATGACCCCAAATCTGAGGCTGCAAAAAATGTCCCGGGGCATTTCCTGCAGCCCCAGCGCCCCCTCCCCGCCCTCCCCACTCCCAGCTTGGATGTGGGAGCTTGGACTCGGAGCAGCACTGACACAATGCAGACAGGGAGGGAATATTTATGGCCAAGAGATTCCCAGTAAACTCAATTCATTTAATGAAAATCTGCAGAACACAGAAAGGCTGGTGGTATAATTTGGCTGTGGATGGCAAGACCACAGATGGTGCCCGCGTTTCAGAATCCTGGCTGGGCCGTGGCCTCCCCTGCATCACCATCAACAGCAGCTTAAGGGATTTATACCGAGCGGCTCTGCAATTGCTTTTCCTTTAAGTAATTGAAAAAAGCACCTGCGTGCACCCACAGAGGGGGACACATAGACGCAAGCCAGGGAGCCAACTGCTCCGATGGCCTGGAGCCTGGCTTGGCTTCCTCACTCAACCAGGACGAAGCCACTGGGGACAGCCTCTCTCAAGGCTCTGTGCAGGTTCTGGGTGGGGTGGGTTGTCACGGGTTAGGGACAGAGACTTGGGGAGCATGGGCACCTGTGAGGAAGCAGTAGGAAGAAGGCAGGGTCCTGTGGATCCCACGGGAAGGAAGTGACTGCCCACTGGATTCAGGACTCCGTGAGAGTTGCCTCTGTGGATTGAGCAGCTGAGCTCAGGGTGCAGGCACTGCAGACCCTTTACTGTTTCAGCCTGACAGGTTGGGTAAGGAAGTCGCTAAGGTAACATCTTAATAGGAACTTTTAGGGGCTGAACATGCCAGACCCCACAACAGCACCCCCACTGGCCATCTTCTGTTTGGGGGTCACGTGCATAGTGGAACATTACTTGCAGCTGTTTCACTTTGGGCCCAGGAGCAGCACAGAGCGCCTCCAACCTGCAGGGCCCATCCTGGAAAGGGGCTGGGAGCAGGCAGGAGGCAGAGGCTGGTGGCCGAGTCCTTAGGGCAGCCTCAGAGCAGCGCCCAGGGAAGGAACTGAGTTTGAGAGTAAATCACACTATTGTTTTCCCCATCGATTGCCCCCTCCAGCCCAGAGGGCTCCCAAACCTTCTGGGAAACTGGTGTTTTCATAAGGGTCTGCGGGACTGCCTAAAGCTGACAGCTCTGCTGCTCTCATTCCAGCTCCTCCACTTGGCGGTCCCGTCAGCACCACCACAGAGACAGGCTCCTCCAAGGGTTTGGCCATGTCATTAGTTTCTGACAGAGAAATCGAGCACCAGTGGGGGAGGAGGTCTGAGGGGTCCCCTGCATGCCCCAGGCCTTCTGTACCATCACGGAGGCATAAGGCACTCAGACACCAGAACCATGAGAGGCAGGGGCTCCCGCTCTGAGAGCCACTAAGTAATGAGGACTCTGAGCGGCCAGTCCTGCTCAAATCAGCCAGGGCCCAGAGGCTGGTGGCTCCATTAGTGCTGAGTGGGGCATCTGGGGACAGATAAAGGAGTCAAGGTAAGAGACAGGGACATGAGGGGTGGGGTAGGGGATGCGGAGTTCATGGCCTGGGTCCCACTGATAGTCTGCTCTGAGACAAGCTGCTTTTTCACTGGGTGGGCCTGTCCACAAAAGGCTTAGACCCCCACCTGCTCACCCGATCCCAAGATCCTGGGCCCAGCACCCGTGGCCCCTCCCCGTTCACCAGTGATGCCATCAGAGTGAAGAGGCACGACTGGGTTGGGGCTGGATGGGCACCCTTCTCGGCACCCCCAACACTCATGAGCAGAAACTGGCTCTCAGATGGTGCCTAACATCAAGAGAGACCTGACAGCCTGCAAAGTGTGCCTCAAAGAGCCCTTGACAGCGCCACCGTTCCAGGAGCTAGCTGCCTGCAACGGTTTAATTAATCAGCAGAGTGAGTTCAATGATGCTCCCTGAACACAGGAGGAACAAGTGCTGTTTCAAGTGACAGCAGAAAGAAGGCACAGCTCCACCCCCTGTACCGCCCCCCAGAGGAAAAGAGGGCCGGACGGCTTGGCCCCCATTGCCCCATGCAGCCCCAGCAAGGCCAGGCTGCTGGAGACAGCAGACACCAGCTGCCAACCAGACAGAGACGGAGGTGCAGCTCTGACAAGCCCTGAACAAAATGAGGACCACAGCTCCTTTCAGCAACTCGTCCCTCACCTCCCCCTCCTAGGGATCTCGCCCAAAGAAGTGAAAAATCCAGACAAAGCGTTCTTTCTCTGTTTCATTACTGACACACACACACACACACACACACACACACGAAAAACTAACCATGCTGTTCAACAATCGTGGACAGATTGGATAAAAGATAAATCCGCCCAATGGCACCATTTAAATAACAGAAACGTTCTTAGGATGGATCTGTTATCTGAGGAAATACAAAATACACAGTCAAGAATACAGTAAAGCCCCAATTAAGAGCACAAATCTTTAGAAAAAGCCAAGGACATTCATCAAACGCCAACCATGGTTCTTCTGTTTGTGGAGTCAAAAAAAATCTGTGCTATTTATCTTTCTAAATCTCTTTATTGAGCAGGTAAATGACTTAAGTCAGAGTGCGCAAATTCTGGATCGTGGGCAAATCTGACCTGCCACCTGTTTTTGTAAATAGTTTTTTTGGCACATTGCCCTACTACAGTCGCGTTGGTGCTGCTATGGCAGAGCTGAGCAATTACTCAAGGACCGCGTAGCCTGTAATCCCTAAATATTCACTAAATATTTATGGAAAGTTTGTCCAGCCTTGATTTAAGTCATAAAATGATTTTTAAAGAGTAACTTGAGGACCTTGGTGGTGAGCTTCCCACATGCCAACTTCAGTGAACTGTGAGAGCGACCACAGATGTGTCCTATGGGCTGAACTGTGCCCCCCCAATTCCTATGTTGAAGCCCTGAACCCCAATGTGACACTATCTGGAGACAGGGCCATTAGGAGGTAAATAAGGTTAAATGTGGTCATAGGGTGGGTCCTATCCTATAGGACTGCTATCCTTTTAAGAAAAGGAAGAAACCTCAAATCCCTCTCAGGCCCCTCACCCCTCAGCACGTGAGGACACAGTGAGAAGCTGGCCATCTGCAAACCAGGAAGTCCTCACCAGAACCTGATGACACTGGCACTCTGATCTCAGACTTCCAACCACCAGAACTGTGAGCAATAAATGCCGCTGTTTAAGCCACCCAGTCCATATTGTGTTACAGTAACCTGAGCTGGCTGAGATGGGTGTCCTGACTGTCCCGTTTTTTACTGAGCCTGGTGGGCTCCACACTCCCCACTCCTGCTTCCAGAATCCAACTCTCAACATGTGCCAGGAGCACGTAGAGCCTAGTGCCTGGGGGCCTGGCCTCAGACTCCACCTCTAGGTCACCTGCCCCTACCCTGTCCGGCCCCACCTACAACCTGAGCTGGCCACTCAGGGTAAGGAACAACCCCCCACCTCTACCCCACCCCAGAATCCAATGAGACCTCAGCGGGCCTGGGCCAGCTGCACTTCACCCACACCGGGGACCCGGCCTCAAACAGGACCTGGAGGCCAATGGGACCTGGAGGCACAGTTCCCCCTCCTAACGGAGCCACAGATTTCACACAGTCTGCCTGGGTTGCCCCAGGGTTTTCTGTGTTAATGAACTCAGACACTCATAAATAAAGGAACA